TGGTCGGGGGGGGGGGGGGGTACAGTGATCAGAATACCATCGTAATCCACTGTACTAAACTGGAAGTGCCCCAACTCTCCATATGCAATGGTTAGCTATCAACAGTACCTGCCACTTTCATCATGCACAGATTATCATTGTAGAAGTCAGCCGGTGCTGGGGTGGGAAGCAATAAGGAGTCTGCAAAAACTCAAATATAATGTCTTTGCAGCACAGGATCAAAACATTTCTTGTATCAAAACTTTGTATATTTTTAAAATATTGTTTTTATATTATATTATCATTATTACTATTGGATTTTAAACATTTAATTTGATTTCTGCTCAGGAATACTCTCAGAGTTGGTACAGAAGTATATAAATTAATAGCAGATATGGGTGTCCAACAATATCCAATGCTTAAAAACAAATTTTTACTCACCACCTTCATCCACAGAACCAACAGACTCCAGCTGATGTCTGAAGAGGTATGGATTCCCAACTGTGCCTGATTTAATTTTTTCTGAAGACACTTGAGGTCCAGTCAAATCAGACATTGAATGAGCTGATGATAGTCGTTGAGGTCCCAAAAGAAAAGGCTTTTTTGGTTTTGATTTTAACTGTATTTCACTAAGAGAAGTTACAGCACTTGTTTCTGGAGTGTGAGTGCTTGGAATGATCGCAGAGGATGTATCCAAAAGGGTCCCATCAGTCTTGCGTCCCTTCATTTTGTCCTTTAGTTTAGCAAAAGGAGATTTAGTTTTGTCCTTCATTGAGAGATCAAACATACTTGCTGTCATGTTGTTCCTCATAAACTGAATATTGACTTTTATCTCTCCTCTGTCTTTAGTTCTTTTTCCTTGTTTAGATTCTAGGCTAAACCACCTTAAAAGAGAAGATGGCATACGGTCAACTATGTTGCACTGTACCAAATATTCTACTTTTTAAAACTGCAGCTTAAAATTTCATTTAACAATAACAAGAAATTAAAACAATAACATGAAATTAAAACAATCTTTACATCTCAATGGTTTTGGATGAGTTTTATTTAGTTTATTTATTTTGTTAGACTCCTCACCCTCCCCACATTGTAGGCTCAAGGATTTCCTATCACCCTCAATGGCAAAGTGAAACCATTCCTGTAGGTTCATGTTTACAAAATAATTCCAAGAAAACCTGTGCTGATTTTCAAGAATATCGTAGAAGTAGAGCTATAAGCAGTGGCCTTTTTTAGGCAGAAAACCAACAGAAGGCTCTTGAAAGGACACTTTTAGTTATCAACTTAAAACAAGGATTAGAAATCAAATCAGTGTATAGGAGTTTTTCCAAACCTAAGTAATAAACTTCCTGACTAACTGAAGCTGAACAAAATGCATTGGGACAACAAATGTTTTTTATTAGACAAGGTGTGCTTCGTAAATGGGGAAGAGTATCAGGAAAATAATTTGGCAAGGAGATATGTTTCAGCCTTGAACTATTACATGCTAAACTTATTTCCAGTTCTAGTACATTATTACAATGTACTGGACCAACAGAAATAAGCATTTGCTTGTTGTTGTTTACAATATTTCTAGCTACAAAAGTACATACACCTTCAAGCATTTATGACAGCTGGTTTCAATTAAGAAAGCAGAAAGGGGAGAAGTGGTGATCATAGATAACTAGACAAAGCTACAAAGAGGTATTAGATATAATCAGACTAATAACATACTACTACTGATGTAAACAATATTATATTGTGACATCTATAAATACTACTCAAGACAAAACAATCAAGAGACGTGCAAAATGCCCCTACAACATAAATTCCACCAGAAACAATTGCATGGTAACACAAATCAATATATATTTGTTCAAATAAGAAAGCAGCCAAGGTTTTGTGTGCAATAAAACAAGCAAATCCACCTTTGTGGCAAAAACCCTCAAACGCTGCAGTCATGACCGTATACGTAAGCAATACAGGAATACCCTTCTGTGGCTTCCTAAGACTGAAGGAGACACAGGCCTATTCCTCATACTGACCCTACTCCCAATCTTCTGTGTGGTTGATCTCCAAGTTTTGGAATCAGCTTAGAATTGAGCATTCTGCACCTTGTCCCTTTTTCCATAATATTTCCTGCTTTAAATTTGTTGTTTTTCTATTCACACTGGGTCATAATCCAGTTTTAAAATTTGAGGGTGCTAGGTATCAGTGATGTCATTGCTGCCATTACATTGCCTTCCCATTTGCACAGGCACTCTAGTGATACTGTGCACTAGCACTAAATTGAGACTGATCACCCAGCACATCACATGTCTTTTTTTAAAAGGCCACTACAACATGGCCACTGATCATGTTATCCTGCGCCATTTTGAGTAACACACCAATGAAAGTCCATTGCAACGAACACAAATAAGAGTGATATATGCAGCAAATTAATGTGGGGGAAAATTCCCCTACTTACATATCACCCTGGGTGAAGGGGACAGAAAGGGAAACCTGGGATGAATGGGATTACTAAAACCAAAGGTGGGAAAAGGGGGGAGGGGAGACATGAAATTGCTGCTGAAGAAATTAGCGAACTGTCAATAAAGTAAGAACATTTTGAACATATCACAACTGACGTGGGGACTTGGGGAGTGGACTAAGAATTTACAGGAAAATAATAAAAATAATCCAAACTCAGAATAAGAATAATTAAAATGGTCAAGGGGTGAATGGTTGCCTTTCAAATAACACATAAACACACCATCACATGTACGATCATCTAAAATAATAGTGCTTCGCTATCATTAACGGACTATTGCTAGTATCCATTATAACCCCCCCCCAAAAAAAAATACTGTGTGCCAGAGAGGGGGGGGGAAGGAGAAGGTGGATGGAAAAGGTAGAAGGGGGTCTGGATACAGAAGAGGATGCTCAAAGGGGGCATAGATCACTGCTGCAAAAAATAACAAATGAAGCATTTCGCACACAGAATCAAGCCAACTTGCAATGGGCTTGAAAATAAAATTGTCCTATAAGTGCTCTGGGGGGGAATGCAAAAAAAACCCAAAAAATTCAACTCTGACCCAGCATGGAGAAAATGAGTTGCAGAACGAAAAATCAGAAGCGTTGTAACATAACTATATATCCGAGGTAAAGTACATATACAAAACGGGCCACAGACAAAGTATGGGCATAAATTGGGCAACAGGGATGGTCAATACTAGTAACAGAAGTTGCAGATTATACCCAAGTACACAAACTCTCCACATTTCTCTTGCCAAGTCATTTTCAGAGTTAATGAAAACAATATTCAGACTCTGGAGCTGTGTTTATATTATGCCAATATTTTTGTAACATTCACCAGCATATTTTTCAAAATGAGGTAAATATAATAAAATCTGAATCTTAAAAATTGGGTGGGGCTTCCAAAAGATTTACAACAAAAAGACTGCAAACATTTAAAGTTAATTCTTTATAGTGAAACTGAATATGAAATAAATTCAACAAATCATTTCCAAATTATAAAAACTTAAAACAGAAGCTAGTGGACAAGTGATATTTGGAATGCTGTATCTTGTATGATCCATAACAGTACTACTGTTTTAAAAAGAGTGCAAAGGTAATTTTAAAAGATGTTGATTTGAGCAATACCAGAAGTACACAAATCCACTTGTTTACAAGTTTTTATTTTAAATTTTTTGTACATATTAGAATCAAAACTAAAATTCTAAAGTCAGTACAAGATCTAATGGAAGTATAGTGTATGAACCAACATTTCTTCAAAAAGATGCTTTTGCAAATATAAGCAACATTAGCATGGGGGTTGTACTTAAAATATATGCTAAGAGACCATATTACTCTAGTTACATTGTGAAAACAAGAATAACTAAGACTAATGTTTCTATTATGGCTTCCTACAACACAGGTATGATAACATCAGTGCTCAATTTTGATAATTAAAATTGGAGCATTTCCAAAATATGGTGGGTAAGAAAATAAATAGAAAATGTTGGGTTTTTTAAAAAGATTTCGTAATTCTACATTTTGGATTGTCTCTTCTGTAACAATGATCCAAATTAAATACCAAATGACATGCTAACCAATGCTATTGGCCCAAATGGCAAGTCTTACTTTCCAATTAAAAATGTCAATCTTGTCTGAGTTTCAGTCTCCTGAGCACCCCCCCCCCTCCCAATCACAGGGGAATAAACTACAAGAGGTGAACCAGTCTGCACTATGTGAAATGTGATCTTGGAGCTACATCACCTCCCTCCCATTATTTCTAAGTACAGATTGGTTAGTGAGGAAGATACATTCAACCAATCATTATACAGTCTGGTTTACCCCTTAGTTCTCACTGTATTGAGGGGGAAGGAAATTATGTATTCAACACATAAAAAGTAAGTAACTAGTGAATAGGCTCTATGCCACCTTTATACTCCATACTCAGGAACATCTAACCAAGGAAAATGGAATATGAGTAACTATGGTATTTCTGGTGCAACAACACAGGGGCTGTAAATGAAACCTTGATGACCACCACCTGCACCTAACCTGAACTAGTGTTTTTAAAAAAAACCTAATGATTTTTCACACTCATGAAAGGGAAAAAATTCTGAATAATAGTAATAAAAATATTTATATGCCGAGTTATATTAACCATTGTTTTAGCTGCTTAAATCTTGTGCCAGAATGAAGACAGTAAAATATTCAATACAAGAGGGGCCCCTTCATAATACCACAGCTTGAAGAAACTTTAACACTCAGATTATTTTAAAGGCATATGCTGTTCAAAGGTGCAACCAAAAGAAACTTAAAAGTGCTACATGCAAGAGGTTATTAGTCTGTAGTCTAATACACTATTAAAGCCACAATGGGCTAGCAACCATACTTCTCCCTGATAAAAAGAAAACCCTGCATGTTGCTTGGTCAGAAATCTTCCTAGGAATTCTAGATCAGCTGGTAGCCTTCATTTTTCTTAGAAGGGGGAAAAAACGCACTAGGGAATTGCTGACAAGGTTCAGCATTGTGCAGAATATTAAATATCTTTTTTGTAATACTCCAGTGACTCTGAAGTCTGTCTCTTAGAACACCATATGTACAGCTGTGTTGGACGGAGGAAGCTATTAAATATATTAAAAACTAGAAATATTACCAATAAAGACACTTCATCAAATACTTGGATCTCATTTATCCCCCCAAATAAGTACAGTTATGGTCACATCAATGTTACAAAGTCTCTTTGGATATAATGCTCCAGATCTGCTAAATGCATTTGAAAGCTAACACCCCCCCTCAATTTAATAAGAAAATTATTAGCTGTTTTGAAAGAAATAAAAATTACGCATGCCAGGCATCCAACATTTGTATTTAGAATTATGGGCCCATGGGCCCAGAACAGCAATGCACTCTTAACTTCCATATAAATAATTACTACTGGACTCCATATACCAGAAATTTTGGTTGTTCAGAGGCCCCACATACACATCCAAATGCCAGTGGTATTTAAAAGCAATATGCTGCATACTAATCCACTAGGCTTGCAGAGGGAGGATGACAAAATGTTTCCGATTCTTGTTTTCCTGAACTATGGAATTCTTACATTTTTTACTAATGTCGATATCAAGAGGTGTCAAACTCATTTCTTATGAGGACCAGATGTGACATAAATGTCACTTTGCTGGGCTGAACTATGTGTGCCATAAAATGTAATGCCAGATACCAGAGATATAAACTGTATAAAGGACAGCAGCTGAGGGTTGCGGTGCTCATCTCAGTTTCAAAGCCGAAGAGCCAGCGCTGTCCAAAGACGTTTCCGTGGTCATGTGGCCGGCATGACTAAACACCAAGGTGCACAGAGCGCTGTTACCTTCCCACCGAAGTGGTACCTATTTATCTACTTGCAATTTCTTGCTTT